ACTGACGGTACAGCATGCAGCGGTGACTAGCTAGGTGAGTCGGCGAAGTCAAGACAGAAAGCGAGTTAAATGTCGTCCATGCGAGCGGAACAGTACTGCATAGCCTAGCTGGACAACGCAGAATTAACACGAATTAACACAAACAAAGCTCGATGTGGCTCCACGCAGGGCAGGCATGAATTAGACCGACCACGGAGGACGAGCGCTGCCTGTGGATGATATGGGATGTGACGACAAGAAATGGCTAGTAGAAAGCTGGCACACTGAAATGTTACTTGGAAATTAGGTACGGTATATACGGTCCTATGGTTCGTACATAAGAGATGAGGATATCTGTATTCCGTTGGCGAATGACAAAACTGAACTGATAGGGCAGTGTCCGACCCAAAAGTTAGACTACCACTAGATAAGCACAAAATAGCGCAAACAAACCCGATCCCAGATGAGTTCACTCGCTGGCGTGTTTACTGGAAATACGATGTAGTAAAAGAGCCAGCAAATGTTTAGTCTCTAAACTCAATCAAGATTAGCTAGATGTGATTTATCCGGCATACCTCTTACCTGATGCAGGATAAAATTAGATATTCGATTAGGAAAGGAAAAATGCCGTGCAACAAAAATATCAGAGTAGCGGCAGCCACATAGAATTTTAGATTGTCTAGCTAATAATATTACTCGAGAATACCGCATTACAGGAGGCCCACCAATCCTGACCAAGAGTTTGGGGGGGGGGGCAGGCCTGCCGAAGAACCTCTTCGTGGTGCCAACTCGGTGGTCTGGGGTTATTTCGGTCCAGCGAATGGTTCGGCGGCAGTTACAGGACGTGGTGGGTTTTGGCCTGCAAAGCGTTCTCCCTATAAAAAGCCACATGTGTCTGTTTCACAACACTGTGACATAGCGGATGTGACTCGCAAGTAAATCAAGTCACTGCCCCTTGTTTCACCTCAGTGAAGCATTGTACTTTGCTGCTGAAACCGAGAGGAAGATTGAGCCCCTGTTGGTTACTCACCAAACGAAAGGCGTATAAACTGAGCAATCAGTCATCGTTTCCCAATGGGTGCGAATCTCTGGCTTCGATTCGCTGCCTTGTGGGTAGGCTATTGGGCTAAAGGCTCGAGGCGGATTCCCCTAAGACAACTCCCTACTTCGGCTTGGGCAATCGGGCAGTATCTTGCCCTGTGAAGACCATGGATTTTGCAATTACTACTACGTCACTCACTTCTGCTGCTACTTTCCCGGCTACTCGTGCTTCTCCATCACACGTTAACTTTTCTCGTGTTGATAATCCACCATCTGTTGAATATACTTCCAGTGTCCATCTCACTGATATCCAAATAGACCGGTCATCCGCTATCCTTCGACCCCGACCTTCATTCCGTCGCACAGCATTCACCGTTCGGACCCTCCTACAGAATGGACAACAGGCTGGCCTGGCGCGTGCTCTAGAATCCCTCGCCATCGACGTTTGTTGTCTTTTATAGACTCGATTGCAAGATCCCAGCACCGTGGTTAAGTTGTCCCCGGCTAATCTTGAAACCTCATATTACCTTCGTCTGTCTGGTGACGAGGAGGCAGCAGTAGCCGGCTCAACTGATATCGGTATCGTACTGAGTGACAAAACGGAGGCTGCACTACTCGGCTGGTTTTCAATCGACAGCCAGCTATGTGCGGTTCGGCTTCAAGGCTTACGTACAATCAACAGACATTGTGAAGAGAGACGTAATTGGTTTGTCTTTTCTGCCTACACTCTAACCGACTGCAGCTGTGCATCGGTTAAGGATGACCATTATCGTGGACTCAACAGCCTTTTGAACAAGGCCGGAAAGTCAGATGTCATCGTCTTTGCAGAGTATGTCGCCAGCTTCCGTGCGAACGTCACCTTGGTGGCAGTCACGCGCTTGATGAGAGTGGTTCTGAGGACAGTGATATGACTTCTCACGTTATGCGAAGACCACCGTCTCTTTCTCTCAAGTACGAAATTTAGGCATACCAGAAAACGTGCAGCCACCTGGCGTCCTCCTTCACCAACGCAAGCGTGCTCACACATAGATCACATTGCAATTAGCTTTAGATGGCGAGGCAGCGTCCGGGATGGTAGATCGATTTGGTCTACGTAGTTCGATTCGGATCATGTTTTGGTCTACGCGGACATCTGCATGTGCTTTGGGGGTTCCTCAAAACGAAAGTACCATACGCTCAACACCAACACACTAGCTAACCTATCCATGCTCGTTACATCGGCAAAGATGGTTAGGTCGCACAATGAAGGCGTACATTGACGGATTAGAATGTTTACTTCTTTAGCGGGGGGAAGTCTCACTGGGGACCAACACACAGAAGTCACCACTAGGTCTAAAGGAAACAGACGCGTGTTTCTCAGTTTGTTATTAAAACCTGGCCGATCTAATACGAATTGTGAGCTATACAATTTGCATGGAAACTGCTGATGTGGAGTGATATCTATGCTGATCGGACAGTGATGGTCAACTCAAGCAAATAGACTGTGTTTCTATTGCAGTCTCAAGTTAGGGTACGTGTGCAACGATCATGAGACAACATTTGCATCACAATAGCGCCAAGCGAGAAAGCAGGTAGGTACGAACACAAGCTCGATAGATCCAGGTGTAAGTAGATGCTACTGCATATGCACATCGAACCACAATTGTGCCGACTGCCGGGTTGCAGTGCGACACACGTGGTTACGCGAAATGAAGGTGCCACAACGCCTCACCAAACGATGTCCTTCAACCGCAGCGCCAGCTTGAGAAAGTACTCCACGTGAGTCACATGTGGTAACACTGCTGCGCGCAAGCATACCATAGAGACGACTAGACAAATGTGGTAGCTTATCTAGAGAAGAGTAAGTGCGCAGGCTGGATACTCGAAAATCTTGATGTTCGGCTTCCAAATAAGGTGAGTTACTCTAATGGGATTACGTATCATCGACAGTTCACACGGGGTTTTGGCGACTCTCTCGACGGCAGAACAATAGTGCACGATTTTAAGTAGTTCAGGTGATGCAAATGAACTGGCTACGGAAAGAAACGGGAGATAAAGATGCTTGAAGAATAGAAAAGGTTGTCCCCAAGTACTGAATCAATTGGCCACTGGAGCAGTGTCACTATGCTTGAACTGTTGTTACCCAAGGTCGTCCAAGGTCGTGATAAAAGCTGCCCACTGTCTCATTCGATAGGTATGGCCGTTACAGCTCGTGGACTGTTATTCAAATTTGATCACATAAGGCATGTTGTCAAGTTCCAATTACATGCAGCCGGAGCGAAAAGCCAAGCATCCTTTAAGAAAAAAAATAACACAGCTACAATTGAACGACATATCACCATCTGTAGGTCTGCAAGCCGTCTTCGGGTTGTAGCACATCTAAGCTAGCTGTTAACACAGAGTAAACTCATGGACTAGCCGACGATCGGCAAGACAAAGAGAACACCGAGCGCTCCTGAAATTAATGTGATGTCAAAAAGCACCCGATGGCTTGGATCGATACTAACGAAATCTATGCGGAAGTATGTTTTCCAGAAATTTTTGATTTCATAGTTCATGCACAAGACGATTTCCTGAGTAACACCTGAACAATAAAAGGCGAGCAGCAGTAAAACGTCTAGTCGGCATGTTTGTCAACAGTGGTTGCAAACTGAGGCTAAATAGCAAGGTGGTTACGTTAAAAAATGCTGTTGAATCAATGAAATGTAAGTGTGAAATGAGTCTACTAGAGAGACTGCATTACGATCATTGCTGGCTCCCCGACGGTCCAGAATGTGACAACGACTTCAATGTGTATACATACAATGTCACCTCCGAAGTTACACCATAACATCTAGGGCGTAGTTGACCGCATTGCACCGCAACAGCTGAGGCAGAAAAATGATGGCCAGGACTATATAGCTGCATGGGCTAATGAATTCACCCAAAATGGCGTTAACGACAACATTACGGCCGTCGGCGCCCATGATGCCGCCACCAAGCAGGATGTGCTGGCCGACGACATAAGTCGTAACAGACACGTAGACCTTCGAATTAGAACAGGCAAGGCCCTCCATACACTCGCAAATGACTTTGGAAGGTTGGAGACAGATCAACAAGACGAATACACACCATCAACCCATTTTGTTAGAGAAAAGAGCCGGGCTATATCCTAGTCAAATGTCAATCACGCAGGTCCGCGGGTGTCACGCATGGCGAAGTGGCGATAGCTGCTGACATCCAGAAGTCATGGGGGCGGAACCCGGCAGGAGTCCGCTGGAGGGCGCACCACTGACGAGACCCAGAAGATCGAAACGTCAGCGTCTGGTGCTTTTGCAGACTAGCCAAAGTGACCATGAAGAAATAGCTGAAAAATTGAATCTTCAAAACACTACATCCAAAAAGAAAAACATTTGGCACTGCTGACGTAAGCGCAGCTTAAGAAGTGAGGGGAAATTAGATAAGTAAGCATATGGATCAGACTGTAAAGAAGTCCTACCAAACACAGAAAGGTTCAAAGACGATCGGGCAGTCATTTGCTGGGTAACGTCACATTTTCGACGCAAATGCTTAATAAGGCCAGCGGTAGAGGTTACTAATTGGCCTAACAGTATATGTGCTGGCACAGTTGGTTTAATGTGGCAATCGTAGCCAAAGCGAAAAGTTGACAAGCATATAGACCAACGAAATGTTTCCAAGTTTAAGATGGCGATTCCGCGGTCGATTTGAAGTGTCTTCCAGGAGTTTAGGCTACGCAGGTTATTCATTAACGGAAACTGTATTGCCCGACAACGAACGAAGTGGAATTCGATGCAATAGATGAATTTTGTCTAAACAGGACGATTGGAAAGAAGCTGCATAATGAGCAATTAGTCGCCGGTTGATTCTCGATGTAGCTAGTCTTACTATTCCTTATCCAATACGGATGGCTTTGGGTGCTCTCCGATAGCTATCATCGTTCCCTTGTTCAATAAGAAGTGTGGAGGGAAAACGTCAATGTCGAATCAGTATTCAAGAAAACAGGAAGGTTAAGTCCATCACATCATCTACGCTACCAATAATCAATCGACGTACCGTGGACAGTGCTATTTTAAGTTGCGAGCATTTTCAATATAAACGAATGCCAGATCGTTCAGCTTGAAAGTAACACAGTTGTCATGAAATTGCTCTGGGGTGATTCCGAGAAACAGCACACGCAGAACTATCCATCACAGTACAAGGTGTAGCTAAACAGGATAGAAAGTCAGGTAGTTCTCTTGGGTTAGAAATATAAAAACATCTGTACAATTGAAATGCAAAAAGGAAATGACCAATTGAAGTGGAAAGCGCGATGAACCGATCTCTCAGCACTTGCTGATTACCGCTCACACAAAGCCAGCTGGGTGGAGAGGTAACGAGCAACTTCACGGTAGTTGTCTTTTAAGGTCCAAACGTCATTGATGCGGTGCCGTTCTACTAGTGAAGATCCCGAGGCACGGCGGCGCTCCGCCACACAACGCAGTAACGCACGGAAGTGACGGGCATCTAACTCTGAGTCATCCGCCGTAGAGGTTGTTCTAGAGAGGATGGAGCGGAAATTTGTAGCAAGGACGGTGCTTGTCACCAAAGTCGTGCCACTGAGTAAACGTATCAATTCCGAGCATAGCCGCTGCATGTTCAAGGATGCGAGCGACGAGATGATGGATGAATTAGCGCTCCCGGCACCAGACTGCCGGACAGAGCATCGAGTGCGAATAAGTTGCAGTAGAAGTGTGGAGCTGAAGCGCACGTGACCGGTAAACAAGTGGCTGGCGTCTCCTGTTGTCAAAATGTCTGGATCAAAACGAAATGTGTTTTCGCTGGTGCTCGATAAACTGGACCGCATCAAGGAGTTGGTTAGATAGAGCTGAGAAAAACAAAAAGTGAGGGTGGTAAATATCAGGAACTGTAAGTAAGGAAATGCTCTTAATGTGTGAGGGAAGCAAACGGAGTTTACTTTTGCGAGGATCCGTGCAAAGGTAGGGTGAGGTTGAAGGAGCTCTTATCGTTGCATGTGTCCACAAACGTCGCACCTGAGTTACTGTGAATGGCAACCACTTGGTGCCAACCAATCGTTGAGTCTTGTCTGATTTTCATAAGGCGTAGAGATAACAAGAAAGCTTGTTCGAGAAATTCAGTCTGAATGGTTACAAAACGGCCAAACGAACGAATGGTTTTACTAAACTCCGCGATGTTTGGAAGGACGATGAAAGTAAAGCTTTGATTCACGTTTATGTAATGAGTTCAAATCTCTGGAGCTAATCTGAGAGTGGCTAGTGTGGGTCGTACGTTAGTAGTAGTCTCCTAAACTCCGGTCCATCAGGAAGTGCTCCACAGGCATCAGCTGGTGAAAGTGGAGATCAGCGCCATCAGCGTTTTGCACGACAGACTGCACCTTTTACACTACATTCTCTATGTGGGTCTACAATATCCTCTGAAAATTATTGAGAATATGTGTAGCTCGGGGTGTGGATGAGAGAATTGTCTTGTTTCCCGAGCCGGGCACTTCTGTTGCAGACGTTTCGTTACCAAACTAGGCAACATTTTCAGTGCGGCTATTCAGTCCTGATTCGCGGAGTCTCGCAAACCAGGCCTCGAGGTCTGGCATTCTGGCCGGAACTCAATCAACAAACACCCGGAGCTGGAGGGTGTCTACGAAAAACTGCAGGTTAAGCCAGCAACAGACAGCAGATCGACAAGGGGAAGACGTGATCACTCGACCGACTCACGTAATCCGATCGAAGGCTGGCATTCGAAGCAGGTAACAATTAATGGTCATTCGGATCTGGCATTGGTTTGCGAGACTCCGCGAATCAGGACTGAATAGCCGCACTGAAGATGTTGCCTAGTTTGGTAACGAAACGTCTACTAAAGAAATGCCCAGCTCGGAGAACAGGGCAATTCTCTCGCAATATCCTCCTCCCAAAAAGCCAGAGTCATTCATAGCAGAGGTTTCATGGGTTGTTGAAGGAGGCAAGACTTCGCGAATATGAAATTCCAAAGCGATGAAAAGCAAGTAAAATGTTTCACGGCAGTAAATGATGTTACTACTGCGTACGGTAAAAGCAAGCATGCGATCTGCGCATGCCAAACAGTGATCAAGCTGTTGGTCGCCTCAAATTCCAAGTAGGAACACCCGTTAGTTTGAAAGATGATTAGCACCGAGGAAGGATATTCTGTCGCAATTCGTCTCGGGTGGGTAACGCAATGGGTTCAACTAACCTTGTGATTGTGACCCATCATCATTATTATAGACATTAGCTAGAGGTGGAAAACACTTCAGCTACTGTACCGCAATACATCAGAAAAGAGAACAAATGCAACAATGGCACGCCAGCTGAGTCACCAATAACGGATGCGCGTGGTATCGGAGAGCTAGCAACCGGCTAATGTGCTGCGAAAAGGTTATATTATGTGTACGGAATGAGATCGTGGTTGGACGGGGGGGGGGTTAAGCGAGACAAACAGAAAGAAGGAAACTGGCAACACAAACGCCATTAAGGTCGGCATCCAGCCATGTCGACAAGTGTGTCCAGTCAGACGTGTTCATAGTCTTTCAGACCACAACCAGGGGGCCGAGAGACTCCAACCGAGGCTATCCTCCAACCAAGGGCCTTTATTCCTCTTAATCAATTCATCGCTTGGCCTCCACCACTCTACTTTCATCCACACCCCGGTCACGAAAAACAACACAGGTCGCGGGAGTCGGTAGAATGGTGTGCGCAACACTTGGCCGAGCCATCGGAGCCTGGTGCGTGATATAACGTTGCCCAAGGGCTCACTTCCACTTTCTGAGCCATAAATGAGGCGTCAAACACGCGCATTGCCCACACGATGTTCACACCAGATAGGAGTCAAATTGCGAAGGCACTGGTGATCGAAGGTCTGCTACTTCAATGGCCCCGGGTTCACAACCGTACAGTAGGGTCGAAGGTACGGCTACACTGTACACTCTACTCTTCAGGGAGAGAGTGATGTCGCGCAGGCGCCATAAGTGGCGCACGTTAGCAAAAGCACGCCCAGCTTTTACTATACGGTTGTGATCTCGTCTTCAATACCAAAGGCGCTGATACCACTACCGAGGTAATTGCATCTTTGAACGACTTCGAAATGATCACCACCAAGGGTCAACGCAGGAGGCAGTCGTTGCCAATCTTGTAGGAAAACTTTGCACCGAGGGAGCAAAGCATAGTCGGAAACAGCTGATTGCTAGCGCTAATCTGTTTAGTGCAGCTTGACACGTTAGTGATCCGCCGCGGATTAGGGCAATATCGTCAGCATACTCTTAGTCAAGAAGTCGTTCACCTGAGAGCAACACTACGCCTAAGTCGTGTCCGGTGAACGCGACTCCCCTGACTTCGTCAATAGCGAAGTTAAAGAGTAAAGGTGACAGCTGGCAACCCAGTCTCACATTGTTGGATACTGAAGGGCAGCGATCGCTTGCCGTAAGCCCTCACTCTGCCCGTACAACGCGCGTAAGGCGCCCGGATAACATTTTCTTATTTCTAGGGCACATCTTCCCTTAGCAGACAGTCCAAAGAATACATGGATTCCCCGAATCGAAGGCATCAGTCTAGCTGTAATGCCTGGTTGATTGTGACTGGTAAAATCCCCGTGAAGACAAACCCCAACAAATAAGAAAACTGATATCGGCCACATATGCCGAAGGAGACTAATTCAAAATAAAAGGGTCCTGTCCAGGTTTGGCACCCGTCACTAATCCGATACGCGTGCATTCACAAATCTTCGACACAAAATTCCGGTGTAGTGCTGGTAGGTAAATAGACTATCGAATTTAAAGCGGCCAAATGTAGCATGAAAGGTGTCCAGGTTAAAAGGAAATTCCATACAGATCTTGCTCGGACACCCTGTACCAGTAACCTTAAAGCTTCAAGTAAAGTGACCAGGATAAAAGTCGAGTAAATGGCCTGAACGTCGCCCTCAAATGATAATGCCGTGTTGCTAAGCATAATCGTCCATAATGGCTAAACAGAGAACTGCGAATCAGGATAACGGTAATTCGGGTAAAGATTAAACGCGGGGCAAACGAGTGTTGCTCGGTTCCACATGGAACAAACATAGTTACTATCTGACAGTTACCATTAAGGCGATGTTTATAAACAAAAGCAGACAGGCACGCGTTGCAGATGACGGTCAGAACCTTAGTGCAAGTTAGGTATATGTTAACTCAGGGTAGTCGACTCTGTCACGGTGGCGACACACTGCAATCGAGGGGTCTAGCCATAAGGCTTCAATGGGAAAACCCAAGGAGGAACCACAGCCGACTAAGCTGAGACGAGAACTCATGTGAACAGCGGTCGATAATGGAAACGTATCGCGAGAAATTCTGGATCCAGCGCAGATGGGCGTCAAATTACCGCCACCATCATCGACAACAGTACGTAAATAAATAAATAAATTGTATATGCTCGTTTTTGACGAAACACGTCGGTGACGGCATGTTCAGGTAAATAAAGCATTTCAAGTTCAATGACCACGAATGACCAAAAAAGGGATATACGGAAAACGCTACGCAACCCACGGATATTAATCTCTTATTCTCATATTCCTGACGATCAGAAACAGTCCAAAACGCTGCGGTATATTCGCAATCATAAGCTACACAGGTACATGCATACACAATTGGTTAGCCGCATCCAGGTTCGGATTTGCATATCACTGTGGACAGCCACAGGACGCGTGCGCCTACACAGCGATCAAGGGTGGCTTGTCCTGCACCACCCACAGCTCCAACCACACACCCCCATATCCAGTGTAAACCCGAAGAAATAACCCCGGGGAAAAAGTGGATGAGAGCCACGTTCCATCAATGGAGCCGGCCCACACTCCTTCACAGACAACCACAAGCGCACTGTATTTAGGGAATCAAGCGCACACAAGGCGGTGGCTGGACCGTAGTCCGCTCCACACTGAGTGCATGGAACCGCTCTTTGAGACTAGCACGGCCACAAGGACCGTTCACCCCGTCCCCTCCAGCAACGACCAACTGTCTCCTGGAGCCAGTATGGACGATGTAGTGGGTGATAGACAGGTAGGCACCTTGTCAACATGCACATCAAGCGCAGCCACACCAGGGATATCAAGCAACAGCCAGTCACTTGAAACGACAATATAATATAAAATAAATCGAAGAATGCATACATACATGCCGACATAGCTCTTTAATAAACAAATGAGCATATGAAATAAATTTGCTGCCAAAATATCCGCTGTAGTTTCAAGATGTCAACAAAGATATTATAAGAAAATGTCGCAATCGTGTTATCAAAGTTAACTGCAAGTAACTTGAGCGATGTGTGCAAGTTAATTGAATGTAGTTCACGTAGACAGTATCGAGACAATAAAGCAAACCCACAACCTGAAATAAAGAAACCCAGCATGCAAGCAAGCGGTTAGTAAATCGAATGCAGCGTACTTCAAACGTTGCGGCGGCTCTGCCTACGTTCTCAGTAGGAGCCCTCGTCGCTTCGGTGATGGCCCCGAGTGGCCTCGCCCATGACTCACCAGGCCTGCGTGACTCAGGCACTCGCGACCGCCGGTGTTACAGCACCATGCGCTCACTGTCGATGAAGTACAACCTATCGGCGCCTGTCGCTTCAGCACTTGTCACTTCTTCTCTGCATGCATGAGGGCTTTCTCCCGCACTTCGGCAACCACCTTCGTGATCGGGTCGCGCCATGCATGCCGTTCAACCGCCTTCGATTCCCATGATCTGCAATCAAGATTAGAACGTGTGAGGCTCACTTTAATCATGTACTGGTAACGTAGCTTTGCTTTCCCAACGTGCCGCTTCCCAACACAGCTGACCATATAATAATTTTTGCGGTATTCGCGTGGAAATCCATA